TGCCAGTGACAGGGACTGTCTGCAAAGCCCGTGCAAGAATGTGAACAATACAGCCTGGCTACAAACGTGTTAAGTTATAAACTAACTCTATAGAGATTCCTCCACCCTCCACGTAGTTACTCTTAGAGTCAGCACATCAAGCTCCCTCAATTTTACCAACATCTTAGGTTGCCCAGGGAACTTCTGTGGAAGGGATTCCTTGCATTCCAGCTGCACTCCACCCTGGAAGCTTTCTCGATGTCGTACCTTTTCCAATGTGTGAACAATGCTGTATATTTATTGTAAGTTCTAATTTTCAAGAGCAATTATTCCAGACACTTTCAAAACTGTCCTCTTCATCTCTCTGCACTAGGCACACAGAACCAGCTGAATAGTGAGCACTCCTGCATTTGAAAAGGCAGATAAGGATTGCTGCCTTGTTTACATAAACGGTTTATTAGGCTGTTCTTCCTGACCACAAGTACTACCTCCCAAACAAAACGTAGTTGGTAAATCAACATTTAGCTCATCTTCCTACACCTCCCTGAGTGCTTTTTATTACAGGTTTTCAAACTGGCTTTCATGAATCCTGAATGAGCCTTCTCCTTTCATATGCTAAGATCTAAGAGCTTTTTTTCTTTTCTTTTCTTTTTTTTTTTTTATTTGCAAATTGCCAGCCACACATTTCTCAGCAACATCTGGTAGAACTGGGTAGCAGCTTTCCTCAGAAGTGCTGGAGTCAAATTACTGGCTTCCCTGAGAGAAGATGAGTCTGCCTGTGTTTCTGGAAAGTACTTTCTTCCTAGCACATGGATAAGGCCCAAAATGCAGATTCATACTACCTGACAGGGATTCCTAGGGCAGAAATGTCTATGCTAGATCACCCTAGCACTGCTCTCTGTAGTACTTAGTGGTTGCCCAATGGTTCTCCATTTGCCACCTTCTGTCAGAATTTACAGAAACCAGTAAGGAAACTTCTAATACAAATGTAATACAATCTAATGGGGTGTGGGAAGATAAGATCAATTTTTTTGGCTGGAAAATGGTGCTTGTGGCCCAAACAAATAGCCTATTAAACAGCTTAGACAAATGAAGGAGCAAAACCCAACTGACTTTTCAGATTGAGTTGGCAGATGCTGAAAGAGCATTTCGTGCCCTGCCTGCACTGCCCATGCCTCTTCCTTGATGTAAAATCTCTCAGGCCCTGGGAAATAGGATTCAGCTTTAAGTCACTGAGATATGCCTCCTGTATTTCAGGAGGGAACTCGTGGCCTTGCACCAAAAACTTTGTTGAGGAATAACCTGCATGAGTCATGGTAGCCAGGACCTGGATGCCCAGGTGCTGGATGCAGCTCTCCTGGCACTTGCTAACAGGAGAGCCTGACAGGCACTGTTCCCTCTCCCACCTCAGGCACCTTTTTGTTCTTTTTACCTTCTCCTCTGTTGCTGCATGAGAGGGCATCCACAAAATTTCATCCTTCCTCTCCTCAAACCACAGGGCCTCTGTTGGGGTACCTTCACCTGGTCCCAGGACCATGGTCAGTCTTGTGAACAGAGGGCTCAGCACAGCTGCAGCAACCGCGGGGGTTTCATGGCCTGCTTCACTGGCCCTGCACCACCACAGGTCAGGCAGAAAACATCGCCCAGAGCACGGTGTGACTGATCTTAGGATGCTGTGCAATTAAATCATTATGAATCTGCTCAGTTTCGTGTCCTGAAAGAAACTCTGGCTGTGAAAAATGCAGCAACTTTCTTCATTCTGCAGTTGGCTACTGGTGTCAGCATCAGTTCACATCTTGTTAAAAACTTTATCCCTATGGACTAGAAACTGAGATTTGCTGCTCTTAGGAGATGCAGTTCCAAAGAGAAAAATGAGTGAATTGCATAAAAAACCAAATCAGATCTGCCAGAATCTATAACTGGGTCAAAAGGATACCAGCCCTTAAGACATTCAGCAGTGAACAGCCTGCTTCAGAGGGCAGATTCGAACAATTCAGAAGCCTTCCAGCAAGCCAGAAATGCTTTTAACAAAGTGCATAACCTGAGCTTCTTTGAGCCAAGTACTGAAAGTCTATAGATGTTTTAACAAAGTAAGAGCACAGAGACATCTAGCAATTGTTATGCATGATCCTCCCTTGGCCTCGCTCTCCTCACAGCTCTTTTGCAGAGCATCAGCTTCAACGTGATCTGAGTCCTAAGAGACCAGGGAATGGTCTCCCATAAGAGCTTCCAACATTCAGCGTGAAGGTTTGAAACAAACCTTAGAGAGACACACTGATGTCTAGGCAGAGTGAGCAGGCTGAACTGCACTTGATAAAACCCAGTGGTGTACTCACTAGGGGAACACAGGTGACTGGCTGCAGGAGGCTCTTCCTCTCAGACATGCTCCCACAACACACCTGGGTAGCTACGGGCTTCCAGCAGCTTGATAAAGTCCACAACCTTTTAATTCAAAGGCCCTTTTCTTGCAGAACATGCCACACTCTGATGAATGCAGAGCATGCTCACGTCTCAGGATGGGCCTCTCACCTTCCTCCCCTCTCCACCTGCCTGGAAATTAAAAAAAGCTGACACAGAAGAGTCAGATTTAAATGAGTTGGCTTGAATCCTGCCCACAGCTGCCTGCAGCAATGCCACTAGCTCCGCCAGGTGCGTGAGGAGCTATGGAGCTGGCGTAGAGGCTGAGCAGTGCTCTTGTTGCGGATGGTGAATGCAGCCGAAGCCCAATGGCCTAAAAGTACCCAAGGCCAAGGACAGAGGTATAATCGTGGCAGTATGGTCTGCTGAAGAAATTCCCAACTACACTGTCACCAGTAGCTTCTTCTTCTACATGCTGAGGGGCTGTTTACTTTTGTCACTCATGGTTTAATTAAACAGTAATCTCTATAGGATAGAGTTTATTGCTAGCAGCTTATCTCAGCATCTGTGGCATTATATAAAAACACCAACACCTCCAAAATAACACCTGCCAGCAAATCCGCCTCCCTTCCTAAGGCACGTATTTAAATCTTTCAGAATTTTAAAACCAAATACTGTCTAAAACAGTGGCATTAGGCTAGGTAAATCCATGCTGTTAGCTGCAAACTGGATGCAGATCAGGGACAGGAATGTGACTGATTTTCTGTCAAGTGAATCAGAGTAGCCAACAGAGAATTCCCAGTGGCTTTATGTTAACTGTGAAAGGACATGCAATAGCTGAGCTGACAAAGTCAGAATGAGGTGCCCAGCCACAAAGTTATCTCAGCGGAATATTTTTGAACCAGTTTGGATGGCAAAGTAACTTCACAGCAGATCAGTACTTTATATCATAGGGTAACTGCAGTTTAGACCTGATAAACTGAGGTTTACTGTTCTGTGAAACTATAGCCTTAGGATACAAGAAAAAGCTGGAAAACAAAAGGCTTGCTCAGCCCTGAAAGAATCTAACTGAAAAGGAGATACAAAATAAAAAGCCTAAAAGCTTAAATATTGTTTCTTTCTTCTAACATACCCTTCCCCACTTAATACACCTTCCCACAGCAAGCCGTTATTGCAGCATCATCCAATTTTTGAAAGACATCACACCTGAACAGGAGGTTGGCATCCACCTGTAATGCCACTAGCGATCAGAAGGATGTAGGGGGAATCTCTATTTCAACACCTGCCCCAGGAATCAGCACCTAGCAACCTCACTAGATTAGACTGGTCAGATAGAGAACAGAACTTGGCCCTTTACTAACTGTATAAACTTCCCTTTTCTCACCATGCACCCTTAACCTCAGCTAACTGGGGATTAACCCCAACTACTGACAATCCTATATCACAGTTGGAGAAACAATCACTAATTTATACCATTTGAAAGAGCCTTCTTGGAGTACTGGCAGTAAATGCTCCTTACTGGAAAGCAACTGACACCAGTAAGATTCCTGACTGGACTAAACCAGTAGCAGGTCAACGAAAAAAGGGAGATATGGGCACAGCTGCTGTGCAGCGCATGCCTTAGGAGTAACTTCATGTCAAACATCAACCACAGAGTCCTGGGTGAGGATGTCAGCTCTAAGAGGCAGTATCACATCCCTCTCTTCCCAGAAAATATCTGCTAATTCTGAACTGTACAGGGTGGGTCTGGATAGCACGAGTTTGCAACGTATTGTGCTCACATTCAATGACCCTGTTCATCACAGCACAAGAGCTAAACTCACACACTCAAAGACTGTTTTGCTTTTGTTTTGATTAATTAGATAAAGAGGCATTAAACTGAACAGCACTCATCAAGTCTGCCTGCTCTGCTTTCACGTGATTTTCCATTGTCACTTTTCTAATTGAGAACGAAAAGCTGGGCTCCCAGCACTGGAGATAAATTATCAAAAAATGCCTACCCAGAGCAAGACAATCTGGTCCAGACAGGTCTAACCAGAGCAAGGAGAGGACTTCTGTGTGCTGCCTCTGCTCATACAGCAGTGGTCAAATGAACTGAGTTGAGTCCTGCCAGGGAAGAATTACTCACTTCATAGCTATTTCACAAAAATGCCATGTTTTACTAGCACTATTATGCTAAGAATAGACAATTTTTAAGTCCTCTTCCAACACTCTATCCATTTGTTGAGCACACTGTAGACCCTAAGAGCGTCAAAGCTGTGGTGTGGCAGAATGGGAAGCTGGTCTCTGAAATCCCCTCCAGCCTACATCTATTTGACAGAAACTGGACTTGGTCCTTCATCGCTCCCTCTCTATTACCGATAAGCCTTGCGTGGAACATGTTTTTCAGAAGAGCTGCCATACAGAAACGCTGACATTTGGCAAGAGAAAGCTTAATCCAGAAGTATGATCTCATTTGCATATGCCTGTACCTGAGATATCCAAACAACAGTTTGTCACATAAACACAAAGCCTGATTCAATACACCCAGTCTGTTAATAACAAACATCTGTGACTTTCACAAATGAATCACCGCAGCAGAATACAAAGAGTTAGCAAAAAAGGGAATGCAAAAAAGCTGAACAGCATGAAATAAAGAAATGTGAAAGAAACAGCAACCTTACCACAGAGCAAGTCTCTGCTCAATTTCCTTGAGAAAACCAGTGTGAAATTTGTGCAAAGGTTCAAAGTTGGAGAAAATGAGAGTTTTCAGTGTTTCTGGCATGAAATCCTCTTTACTCACTGCACTCTGAAACCACTAGAAAGAAAATAAAAACAGCAATATTATCAGGGAGCGAATGCAGTAGGTACAACGACTTGCTGTCTTTATACACCTAACTCATATATCCTAACCAAGTAAGGACATTATTTAGTTTGCACTAGGATACAATTCAGGTTACTCTTGACACTGCTACACACTGAATTGGTGCTCTCACCAGTGGTCAAGCCCTGCAAAACCAAAAAAAGAAACTCCTTTCCCCTTTGTCATCATTGATCAAATCTTGAAAATTCCTTCCAAGCCGTAACTGGTTGGTCAATACAAACCAAATTTGCAAATAGTGTAGGTGCAAAAGAAAGAGTATTGCAATACTTGCAACAGTTTCAAATGTTCCAGTGAAAATAGAAAATAAGCTTTGTGTTTTCTTTTGCTGAATTCTGTCTGAAATCCCTTTCACAGGATCTGATAGAGGAAGCTCTCAAGCCCGTGTTGCCATATACAGATAGAGAACATCATGCACCTTGCAGAGTGAACAAGCACTTCCAAGACAAGACACTAGTAGTATTAAATAGGGTCAATGCCAAACATTGTTAAGACTGCAACAGGCTCCTGCTGTTTTGCTCCATATCCTCTTTATTTCACCCTAACAGACACAAAGCCGTAGGAATACGGGGCTTGCCAAGGTGGCGCAGACTATTATCTTCAACATGATAACACACACTACTCCCTCCTCACCATTCTGAGAGGATCCAGTTATCTATGGCTTCCTGCAGTGCCTAGAAGATTATCAGGACCATAGAAGGCTGTTAGAGCAGTCTTGATTGACACTACATCAGCTGGAGCTGACCCAGACCTGGGATAAAGAGAGATCCTTCCCAAGCCTCTCTCTCTCCTGCTTTATCTCTGCACTGAGAAGAGAGCTAAGGTTGAAGAACTGCACACCTACCAAGTCTCAAAATTCATGCATGACCCTTGTTCCTTCCGACTTTTCCAATGGCACTGGCTACCTGTTCACTCTCATAGGCCTCCTGTGCCAGTTGTCTGTGGAGCACAGCTGAGGGGCTGATTAGCTTGGAGCCAGGTGTATGCCTCTTGGTGGCACAGCAAATTCAAATTTGCCTACCTCAAGAGTAAAGCCCAGGATGGGAAATGGGGTTTAGCTCTGAAGAGCTAGAACTTTCTGTTTCTGCAGCCACTAGGTGAAAAAGAAGATGAAAACAGCGTATCTGCTGCTGAGACTGCAGCAATGACCACCACCCACAGAGCCTGGCCTCTTCCCTGGTTGGCCTGTGTTCCCAGGAATCTTGCTATCACCTATCTTGCTATCTGCAACACCTCTGCCGCTCCAGCCTATGTTGGCTATGTCTAAGCCGGCATCAGATCAGCTGCATCTGCCATGTGGGCTCCTGGAACGGAGAGGGGGCTGGTGAGAAGGTATCTCTCCATGGTTCCCAGCTGGTACCACCAGACTCGCTAGCAACACTCAGAGCAGGAGGTGGCAACGCACCTCACAGAGTTTCACATGCTGGGCAATTAAAGAGCTGGGAGGTGTAGAGCTGGCAGCCCTGCTGAAATACCATGAGGGATTTTGGATCCAGCGCCTTTTTGCAGACAATTGTTATTTAAAGCCAAACATTGTGCATGTTATTTGTGGGAGTTAAATAAGACTGTTGGTGTGTGCGCTAAGGTGGCCTGTATTTGCTGTGGTGATTTTAACAATCACGGCACACTCTTATCAGATGCTACAGGTTAATGACTCACTTAACAGACAGTTTCACTTACTGAAAAATCAGAATCATTCAAATAGGTACTCCACAATATTTCATGTTAAATGGAGGGCATTTAATGCAAGATAAAACGTTTATATGTCCCCTTAGGGAACTCCTTCAGCTTTTAGAGAAGTCACTGAAAACCCACAGGCAGTTTTAGTAATTGCAACCACAAAGTATGAGAGCAAGGAAAAAAAAACACCTCAAAAAGCCAAACTGTGTCCCAAGTTCCTCAACCTGATATAGTTTCATGGTGCATGTTACTAACCACAGTGCAAATCTCTACTTTCTGCTTTTTGTGTTATTTCATCCCTAGAGCTGTACACCTGCACACTGCAGAGAAAACTTACAGTGCAGAATATAAAAGTAGCGTGGGAAGCTAAGCTGTTAAATGGAGCAGATGAAATACTACTGCTGACTAGAGCTTCACGTATTTCATGAGTAATGTTCAAGTAACCATACCGATGTGATGACTTCAAGGTCCTTCAGGTATGTTCGTTCTGTGGTTGCTACTTCTTTAGCAATGAAGTAAGCCTTCTCAGTTGGGAATCTCTGCAAATTGCAAACACATTAGGTTTTCATCTGCTTTTATGGAGCTGCTTTCTGTACGACAAAACTGCAGACAACAATCACCAAGAGAGTTACAAACTAGTGATCCTTGCTTGTGGTTACTGTGACTCATGCTTGAATATTCCAAAGCCCTGAAAACAATCCTTCCTTGCAAACACAAGAGAACAAGCACTTTCTACGAGTTCTTGTGAGGCTTTTTTTCCTGCCAAGGTGATTCCTACAGCTTTGGGGTGTTGATGTTCCTTTCAGCTTATTCCACACATCTGGAACAGGACATTTTCTGAAGTTCACAGAGAAAGCCTTTGCAGTCTACATAACCATTTAAAATACATTTGACAAAGTTCTGGGGTCCCCGGTTCAAGAAGGAGAGGGAACTGCTGGAGAGGGTACAGCAAAGAGCTACAAATATAATTAGGGGTCTATCTTATCATCTATCTTATGAAAAAAGGCTGAGGGACTTGGGGAGGCGTGGCTGGAGAGCTGCCAGGCAGAGAGGGACCTGGGGGTGTTGATATACAGCCAGCACAGCCTGCATAGGCTCAATGCTGCTCTTTTTCCTTCTGTCACCTGGAAATCTTCTTTCCAATAACGCGAATGTGAGCCTGCACTGTGCCCAGTTGGCCAAGAAGGCCAATGGCATCCTGGCCTGCATCAGGAATAGTGCTGTTGGCAGGAGCAGGGAGGCGATCACGCCCCTGTACTCAGCTTTGGTGAGGCCTCACGTCAAGTACTGTGTCCAGTTTTGGGCCCCTTCAAATTCACATCTGAAGAGAGACATCACATTTTATTCTTCTTTTCAGCTACAAGATTATTTAACAAAATAGTCAAGAGGGACATTGAGGTGCTGGAGAGGGTACACAGGCGGGCTACCAAGCTGGTAAAGGGCTTAGAACACAAGTGTTACGAGGAACACAAGTGTTACGAGGAAAGGCTGAGGGATCTGGGTCTGTTTAGCCTGGAGAAGAGGGACTGAGGGGAGACCTCATTGCTCTCTACAATTACCAGACAGGAGGTTGTAGTGAGGCGGGTTTTGGTCTGTTCTCTCTAATGGAGAGTGATAGGACGAGGGGAAATGGCCTGAACTTGTGCAAGGGGAGGTTCAGGTTGGATATTACGAAGAATTTCATTACTGAGGGGGTTGTCAGCCATTGGAACAGGCTGCCCAGGGAGGTGGTTGAGTCACTGTCCCTGGAGGTGTTCAAGAGATTGGTAGATGTTGCCTTGAGGGACATGGTTTAGTGGTGTTAATAGGGAGAGGACAAAGGTTGGACTCGATGACCTTGAAGGTCTCTTCCAATCAAAACTGTTCTACGGTTCTATGACTTGGGGCTTTTTAGCCTGGAGAAGACTGAGGGGGGATCTTATCAATGCTTATAAATACTTAAAGGCAAGTGTCAGGAAGATGGGGTCAGTCTTTTTCAGTAGTGTCAAGTGACAGGACAAGAGGTAACAGGCACAACTTGAACACAGGAAGTTCCATTTAAACATGAGGAGGAACTTCTTTATTTTGAGGGTGACAGAGCACTGGAACAGGCTGCCCAGAAAGGTGGTGGAGTCTTCATCACTGGAGACATTCAAAACCCTGTGCAACCTGCTCCAGGTGAAGCTGCTCTGGCAGGGAGTTGGACTAAATGACCTCCAGAGGTCCCTTTCAACCCCTGACATTCTGTGATTCGGTGAAATGATAAAATTCAGTGTCTGATTGTTATTATAAGATTCCTTGCCAGGGTAAGAATCCACAGTAAAAATACTCTCAAAAAAATCAAATCCATAAGGTTTTGCCAGTGTGGCTGGGGAACCTAACAGTGGGAGAGGGGAAGGATTTTAGGGTAAGCTACAGTTTTCAAATTTCACGAAAAAAATAACCAAACAAATCCTTCTATGTTATGCCAGAGGCAATAGTGGGGTTGACCTCTTAATTGTGAAGAGCCAAAGGATCCCAACCGATCTTGCTCTGCGCTGCTCAGGAAGCAAAAATTAAGAGCAAAACATCCATAGATCTTTTGTTTCTTCATTTCCTTCCTGAAGATCAGTGATGCAGAGGATGCACTAGAAAGTGAGGGCAAGGGGAAACCGTGGGCATTTCCTAGTCAGTATACTGACTAGGAGGAACCATCATCTGCTGGTACATATAGCAGTCACTGGCTGCTGTAACTTGGACAGACACAGAGAATTCTGAGCCCATTAACTGTTTCTTGGCTTTTCTTCTAATTTCTCTCACATAACTTGCTAACTATGAAGAGTAGGAAAGGAGATTTTCCTTACATATGCTCCCACTTTCCAGCAAAGCCATCATGAGATTCTACCTTCCTCCTCCTCAGATGCAAAAAGCTCAGGAGAAAAAGCAGGCAACAGAAGGACAAGAGCAATCCCCTCGAGCCCTGCAGCACAGGAGGGACAAGCCAGCAGGCACCCAGAACACCCTAGCTCAGGCGGAATCACTCTATGTTCAAAAAGCAATTTTGGATGTGATGGTCCCTTATGGCTTTGCTGCAATGATGGGGCTGAGCCAAACACTCCCAGCTGAACACTGCAAGCTGGGGCTCAAAAAGAGCATTTTCAACTCCCACAACCAAATGCTCCCAGTGGTGCTCCAAGCAGAGAGACTGGAGAACCTGTGCTGGCCACTCCTGCACAGGCTCAATGCTGCTCCTTTTCCTTCTGTCACCTGGAAATCTTCCTCCCAATAATACACTGGAGTTGACTGTGTTGTTACAACAAACTATCAAACTCCATTCCTTAAAAACAAGCTAAATCTATAGGACACCCTGAAAAAAAAAGCTCTTAAAATTGCAATCAACAGAACTGGCGCAGATTTATCCTACATTAACCTTAGGGACACAGAGCTACCTATTATCTCTCCGCTGCTTAAAGAAGAGCTAGGGCCCCTGACTTCTGCACCTCTGTTCCGGAGAAGGTGTCCAGGGCACTGAGATGTCAGCTACAGCAGTTTTGTAGTTCTGGCTCAGACTGCTCCAAACTGTGACTCTGGCCCCAGGAGCACAGTGGTCCTCTTGGACACACCATAACTGAGGGCAGCAAATAGCAAGTGACTCAACACAAGCTATTTGTGTGGATCTACAATGAGGAAGAAGCTGCAGGAGGTCTACATATCAGTCACTTTAACAAACAGCAGTAGCTGCAACACAACATGGAGAGCCAGTGCCAACTGCCCCTGCCTTACCTTTCTTTTGACCTCTTCTTCATCATCAGTCCTGATGCATGATGGGTCATTCAGCAAAGGGCTGATCAAGGGAGACGACTGCTTGGCATCAGGGCTCAGGTTTGGAGATAAAGACATATTTGCCACTGATGGTCCTCCTTGGGAATTGATGGAAAGCTCTGAAAGGTGAGGGCTGCCAGTCAGAGAACCTGCTAAAAAAATGGTAAGAGAGAAATCAGTTAGGGCGGGCTCTCTCTAGAAAGTACCAAAATGAGTTACAACCTTAAGTTGTAGCAGGTGAAATTACACTACAAGACACAGCCATCAGCATCCTCAAACTAGTCCAAATGGACTTGAAGCCAGAGGAATTGCATCCACTTGCATTAACCAAGGGACTGGAGCATTCTTTTAGCTAACAAAACTGGCTGAAATTAGTGTCTCTTTAGGGATAGGATCAAGGCATACATGATTGGGCTGCAATATTTATGCTAAATGTGAAATTAATACCAACTTTTTCACCATTGTAATCCGCTCTATGAAAGAGAATAAACACAGCAATAAGGGAGTCACCCGAGGAGCGCCATTCTTTCTAGCAAAATAGAACTTCAAAGACTCAAAGCAACACTTCACAGGGAGCTATAGGGCACAAGTCAGAACAAATTTATCTAGTGGAAATCTAGAGAAAAAGAAATAATGACTTTCTACAGCAGTGCTGTTGCTAAGACCAGTCAGATCTAACATGAAGGGAGAAAACTACTAGTTCCCCAATTTCTACACACAACACAAGTATTTATATTATACCTTGTAGGTCTTTCCATGCTCCTCTGATTGTTTGGGATGGAAATGCTAGCATTACATTTACATAAGAAAAGCATAACTTTTAATGCACAAAGCATGACAACTTAAGATTATCACAAAGTCCCATTTAATTTTGGATTAAAAATATGAAAGAATTAGACAATTAATTACACTTCCATGGATCCACATACACTACATTAAATATTACTGAAATTAGTACTTTGTTTTCTGGGAGGCAGCCAGACTACTGGCTACACAAAGGAAGGAGTTTGCTGAAAATGCCCAGTGTTCTCCCAGATACCCCCTTCTCCAAACCTCTGAAAATCTAAATCTGTTCTAGAAGACGGATTTGTCATGTGGAAGAACATTTTTAGTCTGTACCATTGTGGCATCATACATTAAAATCCAGACAAAAAAAAAATGTGACAAGCTCTTGATTACTACAGCTAATAGGCTGTCTAGGACTAAACGTAAAGCATATACATTGCCGTATATAATTAAGGTCAAATACATTTTACTATCATGTGTTTATGTGCTCTCTAGATTATGATACGTAAGTGTTCCTGTTGCTACAATACAGCTGAGATACTCCAGTAAACAGAGGCACCAATAAATATAATTAGGCCAGCAGTAAAACCTATTTATTTTCTGGAAGAACTCAAGATTTATTGCTAGAACATGAATGTTTTCCAGTTCCAAACCAGTTCATGTTTGTATGCCATTCCTTTGAAAAGAGAAGGAAAAAAACAATACAGTTATCAGTTTACGTAATCATGACAGTTATGTAGCCTATTATAAATCAATGTCAAAGCAGTATTTGTCTGAAATCAAGGTCTGTATTATTACAGCTTGCAAGAAAGGATTTACCAACAGTTTCACACTAAATCAATGTTCAGTGAAATTTGAGAAAATGCCACAGCTTGTTACACAAATGTCAATTTTATTGACACTAGCACACAACTGTATACAGTGTTTTCAAAAGAAATGGAATTCATCATTGAGAAATAGTGAAACAGATTAATAGCAAGGTTGTAAGGTTAAAAGTACTTAACTCTACATTACAAAAGACATAAGAAAAGTGGTATCACCTCAAACATGGAAACAAAGAAATTCTGGCACTATGCCTGTCATATGACAGCGAATAAATGATTTGCACCTCTGTGAGAAGTTCACAGGCATTATAATCTAGACGTTAAATAGCACCTATCTGTGATAGATAGATAGAGATACACCAACATATCTACCTACCTATTTATAATCCTAGATCTAGATTCTGGTGTAGTGGAATTATTTATCAGCACAGCTCAAGTATTTCAAACTATAAAATATCAAATGGACAATGAATTAAAAAGATTTCCTAACCTACACTTGGAAGACATGACTTGGGAAAAGTATTACAGGAAGTATCACAAAAAAAGGTGCCTAGTGGCTCAGAGCATTGAGCATTCACACCCCATTAATTAAGGGCTTGCATATCAATACATCATCGACATTTTCAAAGTTATTTTGCAGCAATTTGAAATGCTACATCCTCCTTTTGGTGTCGGCGTGGACATCAGCAGTGACTAAATCCAACACCACCACCACTTGCAAGCAAGAGCTCGGCTAGACCCCCTCTGCCAATATGCTGAACAAGTGAAAATCAAAGCTAGATATGAGAAAGTGGCTGTATCACAAAAGCGCCTCCATATGCTGTTAGTTAGCACATTCTGAGGCCTAATTACAACAAACACAGCCATAAAGATCATTGGATGTTGTTCTGGTAAAGGTGGGAAACAAAATCATTCTGCTGTGAGAGTAAGTCACGAAGAAATGAAAAAAGAAGTTCTTCCTCTCCCATCACCCACCAATCAGGACATGTCATGCTGATGGGTCACAGCAATGCTGCAAAGGAACTTTCTCTTGTTCATTGAGGTGAGGAACGAATAACCTGCATTAACCAAATGGTCTTTTCTCAGTGTTTCATCTGACCTCCTGTCACAGAAGAGTACATTCATACAGGCTCTACTCATCAACTGCACGCTGCAGAATATAAACAGAAGCAGAAGGGAGAAGACTGATCTCATTTACAAGGTACTGAAATTCCTCACATTCTACCCTAGAGGAGTCATTGATTGACAGGCAATTTCTAGCACGTTAGCTGCCAGATATCAAGTGATGCTGCACAGCACATCAGAGGCCTAAAAGGTTTGCAGCTGGTAACATGGATTTATCGTTGCTCATACTTCAAGTGATTTTTATTTAGATTCAGACTTGGGGCACCTTTCAAATATAATAGAGCCATACACACACAAACCAAGTGATGAGTACAAAAGGATGTTTATCTAAGGATTGCTTAAGCACATACTAAAATTATATCTTTGGTGGAGCGGCTAGGAATTAAGCATGTGCTTCAATTCTTTTCTGAGCCTGGCTGAAGAAGAGAAACAAACACTGAGTGATGACAATGGCAAATAATGAGAATGAACTTTTACCACAGTACGCCAGGTTAGCCCATCAATGACAAAATACCGGGAGCAGTTCTTAATTCCACTGAGCTAGTTTACTTTCCAGACATAGGGGAAAGGTGCTGCAGTAGGGAAGGTGACAGAAGATCTTGTTTGAAATCTAACTTGAAAAAAACCTTACAAAATGACAATGGCATTTTACACGGCCACAGGACATGAAACTACAGGTTATCGTCCTAGCTTTACACGTGTCTCAGATCACTCCCCAACAACATATACGTTCCACGTGTTATGTAAAATGAAGCCAGTGGCTAAAATCAAGTACTTTATAGCTATACCTTCATCAAAACACACATCACAGTTGCTTGCTGCAATTTGGTGGTGGGAATACATGGGATTGCTGGCAAGCTGTGGGTGCCCAGCTAGAGAGGGTTAGGCTGGGCTCTGCGCTTGGCTGGCCAGCTGTGATCCACCCCATTCGCAATTACCTGCTTTACTCCAGGCTCCCATCACACACAGATGTTAACCCACAGGGACTGCTGCCCAGGTCGCAGTCTACCGAGCCTTGGGCTGGCTGACCTATACTCCTTTTTAAAACATGGCTAGTACCAGGAAAAAAAAAGTTCAAATCAGTACTTCTTGGCTGATGGAAAAGTATCTCCCAGAAGTCAATTCCAATCACTGTTGAAATGAACTGCCTGCTGCCTCTTTCTATGTTGACTACATAGACTGCACAAGATGATCAGAAATCTCTCATTAGAGTCTTCCACCTAACACGGGAGGGCTCCTCTCTTTGTGAAGAAGACAAATGGGACTCGATGTATCCTGAAGATACTCCTGTTCCTTTTCTCCCGAAATGGCTGAATAACAATTTAGTTATGGCTTGAATGGCCATTTATTGCTCTGCATCTGCTTCAGAAGAAACAGTTCCCATCCCTTCACACTGCGTTTTAACAGCAAGGAAGAATACAACAGTGTTAAGATGCTCCTGGGTATGTTCCTCCTCTGTGTAGCAACAAGAAGTGAAAATTACTTAAAAATGGAAACTGAGAGGAAACATCCACCATTCTCCTGGAAAACTTCATGTACGGCTACAGTGCTAACTAACTCAACTGTTAAGGGCTATATTGTTCTCAAGATTTATAGGTTCATTACTAGAAATTAAAATGTGTTAAGAGCCATAAAGTGCCCTTCTCAGTACCTGGAACATTGCAGGGCTTATTCTCTTTTAGGCCTGCTCCACAGCCTGCTCTGCAGTCAGGGAAAACTTGTGACATCCAGATCCAAGTACTCTGCTTTAAGGACAGATGAGCACTTTCTAAATTCCAGCCTGGTAGAGGAAACCCAAGATGTTGCCCTTTGTCCTTTGCATTACTGAGCATACCTCTTATGAAGGTTCTTTAACAAGAAAGTATCTGACAGAGCTGCCACTGCTGTGGTCACACAGTAAGGTCTAGCTTAATGTTCCATAGTCGCAGTGGTTGCATACTTCTAACTTCTACCTACAAGTTTTGGTCAGAAAAAGACCAATAGTACAAAATGACCTGGGGGACAGATAGCATCAGATGAAGCGGCAGGAGTTTCCATATGCACTTCATCAATGACTGAAGTATTTTAGACTGGAAAAGAGTTTAATAAGGTTGCCCATCCCTTCTCTCCCCAGCTGTGAACCAGGCACAGCTGCACTGCAGAGCTAACAGAACTAAGGGATGGAGATTCTGCTCTCCTCTCCCTCAGTGCAGGAACAAAATCTCACTGACTTCCACGAAAGCTTGAGGGGGACCAGTTCATCAAGCTGCACTTCTCTTCCACATTAAACAAACAAGCTGGAACGATGGATACGGTTCATTAGAATTAAAGATCTTCAAAAGTAGTTATACATCAGCCATAAATTTATGTACAAATCATCCCTCAGTGCAGTACCAAAGACTCTGAGGAGGAGTAGGAAGAAAAAACAACTCAGC